TGTGCCTATAGCACATTTAATATCAGAGAAAAAAGCAGGAGAAACATTAATTTTTTGGCTCGAAGCCATAAAAAATCAGAATCAAGAATGGAAGCCCCATACCTTTCTTACTAATTGTGATGATGCACAACAAAATGCCATTAATGCAGTGTTTCCTAATGCCAGAATCTTGCTCTGTCAATGGCATGTAAAAAATGCCTGGCAAAAAAACAAGAACAAAATTAAAGCGAACAGTAACTATTTCAAAACTCAAGAAGAAAATCTTAATAATAATACTCTCAAACGATCAAAAAAACAAGTAGCACAAAAAATGGCGCTGGACGAACTTGGTACCATAATGCAAATTCGGGATGCTTCCCAAGTACAAAATAAATTCGTTGAGTATTTTACTCAGTGGATAGCTTTTGATGAAGCAGAATGGATTAAATATATTAAAAGAGAATATCAAGGAAAGTGTGAGAAATGGATTGACGCTTATCGATTATATGAGCACCAAGAAATGAATACAACAAATTTTATTGAGTCTTGGCACAAAAAGTTCAAATATACATATCTAGAAGCTAAACACAACCATCGAATTGATACTCTAATTTGGACCTTACGAGCTGCTTTAAAGGATGCAGAATTCGAGTGCGAAGCTATTCGTTTGATGATTGGAAGGATGAAACCACGGCAAAGAGAGCAACAGCACTGAGAACTTGCTGGTTCTGACTTGGATACAGATATCTTTACTATGCCTGGCGGTCGACATTATCTTGTGAAATCGTTAACCAATAGTCACGAAGTTAATATAAAAGAATATATACAAAAAAGTGATAATATTAAACCAATTCATTTTCAATGTACTTGTTCAGACTTCAAATTTCGTGGAATTGCATGCAAGCACATTTTTACAGTGTGCCGAAAGTTCTATCCAGTATCGATTTCATATGTTGCTTTTGCTCAGGAGGTGAATGAGCCTGAAGAGATTCCTGATATTATTTTTGAAGATTGGATTGGAGCTATTCGAAAAGTATGGAATCGATATGACCAAATAGACCGAAACCAAATGACCGGTACCAGCTTGGAAGCAATTGTAGATGCAGGAATGAAAAGAAAATCCATTATTCCTTTATATGATGAATGCGTTATTCCTGATTCTGAAATGAATGGAACCTATTATCGTATTAAAAAACAAAAATATTAATCACAATTGTATATTTCATTTTTTTGTTCTGTTCTCGATTTCTCTTATAGTCTCTTATAGTAATCACTCTAAATAAAATTTCCCTTTATATATATACACGATGAAAATATACCTTCATAATTAAATCATTCGTGATTAAAATTGTTCAGATTTGTTTGACAATAAAGAAACTCAACAAACAACCAACTTAAAGCATTACGAATAGAATACAAGATCGAATGCCGAATGCACGAAATACGTGACAACCAGGTGATA